ACCACCCAAAATCTACAGAATATACATTCTTCTCAGTGCCACATAGCACGTATTCTAAAAACAACCAGATAATTGGAACTAAAACACTCCTCAGCAAATGCAAAAGAATGCAAATCATAACAAACAGTCTCTTGGACCATAGCGCAATCAAAAGAACTCAGGATTAAGAAACTCACTCAAAACTACACAACTACATAGAAACTGAACAACCTGCTTCTGAATGACTACTGGATAAATAGCAAAATTAAGGCAGAAATAAATAAGTTCCTTGAAACCAATGAGGACAAAGATATAACCTACCAGAATTTCTGGGACACAGCCAAAGCAGTGTTCAGAGGAAAATTTATAGCACTAAATGCCCACAGAAGAAAGCAGTAAAGATCTAAAATTGATACCCCGACGTCATAATTAAAAGAACTAGAGAAGCAAGAGCAAACAAATTCAAAAGCTAGCAGAAGATAAAAAATAACTAAGATCAGAGCAGAACTGAAGGAGATAGAGACACACACAAAAAAATCAATGAATCTAGGAGCTGGTTTTTTGAAAAGACTAACAAAATAGATAGACTACTTGCTAGCCAGACTAAGAAAGAAGAAGAGAGAAAAATCAGACAGACAAAATAAAAAATAATAGAGGGATATCACCACTGATCCCACAAAAATACAAACTACCATTAGAGAATACTATAAACACCTCTATGCAAATAAACTAGAAAATCTAGAAGAAATGGATAAATTCCTGGACACATACACCCTACCAAGACTAAATCAAGAAGAAGCTGAATCCCTGCATAGACCAATAACAAGTTCTGAAATAGAGGTAATAATTAATAGTCTACCAACAAAAAAGCCCAGAACCAGACGGATTCACAGCTGAATTCTACCAGAAGTACAAAGTGGAGCTGGTACCATTCCTTCTGAAACTATTCCAAACAATAGAATAAGAGGGACTTCTCCATAACTCATTTTATGAGGCCAGCATCATCCTGATACCAAAACCTGGCAGGGACACAATGAAAAAAGAAAATTTCAGGCCAATACCCCTGATGAACACCAATGCAAAAATCCTCAATAAAATACTGGCAAATCAAATTCAGCAGCACATCAAAAAGTTTATCCACCATGATCAATTTGGCTCCATCGCTGGGATTTAAGTCTGGTTCAACATATGCAAATCAATAAACATAATCCATCCCATAAAAGGAACCAATGACAAAAACCACGATTATCTCAATAGATGCAGAAAAGGCCTTTGACAAAATTCAACACCCTTCATGCTAAAAACTCTCCATAAGGTAGATACTTATGGCACATATCTTAAAATAATAAGCTCTATTTATGACAAACCCACAGCCAATTCAAAATAAGAAGGGCTATTTATGACAAACCCACAGCCAATATCATACTGAATGGGCAAAAGCTGGAAGCATTCCCTTTGAAAACCGGCACACGACAAGGATGCCCTCTCTCACCACTCCTATTCAACATAGAATTGGAAGTTCTGGCCAGGGCAATCAGGCAAGAGAAAGAAAAAAAGCGTATTCAAATAGGAAAAGAGAAAGTCAAATTGTCTCTGTTTTCAGATGACCTGATTGTATATTTAGAAAACACCATCATTTCAGCCCAAAATCTCCTTAAGTTGATAAGGAACTTCAGCAAAGTCTCAGGATACAAAAATCAATGAGCAAAAATCACAAGCATTCCTATACACCAATAATAGACAAACAGAAAGCCAAATCTTTTGTTTGTTTGTTGGTTTGTTTGTTTTTGTTTTTGAGACGGAGTCTTGCTCTTGTTGCCCAGGCTGGAGTGCAATGACACAGTCTCGGCTCACCGCAACTCCGCCTCCTGGGTTAAAGCAACAAGCAATTCTCCTGCCTCAAACTCCTGAGTAGCTGGGATTACAGGCATGCACCACCATGCCCAGCTAATTTTGTATTTTTAGTAGAGATGGGGTTTCTCCATGTTGGTCAGGCTGTTCTCGAACTCCCGACTTCAGGTGATCCCAAAGTGCTGGGATTATACGTGTGAACTACTGCACTCAGCCGAGAAAGCCAAATGCTGAGTGAACTTTTATTGACAATTGCTACAAAGAGAATAAAATACCTAGGAATACAACTTACAAGGGATGTGAAGCACTTCTTTCAAGAACTGCAAACCACTGCTCAAGGAAATAAGAGAGGACACAAACAAATGAAAAAAACATTCCATGCTCATGGATAGGAAGAATCAATATCGTGGAAATGGACACACTATCCAAAGTAATGTATACATTTAATGCTATCCTCATCAGGCTACCATTGGCCTTCTTCACAGAATTAGAAAAAACTACTTTAAATTTCATATGTAACCAAAAAAGAGCCCATATAGCCAATACAATCCTAAGCAAAAAGAACAAAGCTGAAGGCATCATGCTACCTGACATCAAATTGTATTACAAGGCTACAGCAACCAAAACAGCACTGTACTGGTACCAAAATATATATATAGACCAATGGAACAGAGCAGAGGCCTCAGAAATAACACCACATATCTACAACCGTCTGATCCTTGACAAATCTGACAAAAACAGCAATGAGGAAAGGATTCCCTATTTGATAAATGATGTTGGGAAAACTGGATAGTCATATGCAGAAAACTGAAACTGGATCCCTTCCTTATACCTTGTACAAAAATTAATCAATATGGATTAAAGACTTAAATGTAAGACCTACAACCATAAAAACCCTAGAAGATCATCAGATGATGTATGATGGCCTTGGTGAAAAAAACACCCTAGAAGAAAACCTAGGCAATACCATTTAGGACACAGGCATGGGCAAAGACTTCATGATTAAAACACCAAAAGCAATGGCAAGAAAAGCCAAAATTGACAAATGGGATTTAATTAAACTAAAGAGCTTTTGCACAGCAAAAGAAACTCTCATCAGAGTGAACAGGCAATCTATAGAATGGGAGAAAATTTTTGCAATTTATCCATCTGACAAAGGGCTAATATCCAGAATCTACAAAGAACTGAAACAAATTTACAAGAAAAAAACAACCCCATCAAAAAGTGGGTGAAGGATATGAACAGACACTTCTCTCTTTTTTTTTTTAATTGAGATGGGGTCTCACTCTGTTCCCCAGGTTGGAGTGCAGAGGCGCAATCTCGGCGCACTGTAACCTCTGCCTCCTGGGTTCAAGCAATTCTCCTCCCTCAGCCTCCCAAGTAGCTGGGATACAGGTGTATGCCACCCCACCCAGCTAATTTTTTGTATTTTTAGTAGAGATGGGGTTTCACCGTGTTAGCCAGGATGGTCTCGATCTCCTGACCTCATGAACCACCCACCTTGGCCTCCCAAAGTGCTAGGATTACAGGTGTAAGCCACCATGCCCGGCCAGAACAAACACTTTTCAAAAGAAGACATTTATGCAGCTAACAAACATGAAAAAAAAATTTATCATCACTGGTCATTAGAGAAATGCAAATCAAAACAACAATGAGATACCATCTCATGCCAGTTAGAATCGTGATCATTAAAAAGTCAGGAAACAACAGATGCTGGAGAGGATGTGAAGAAATAGGAATGCTTTTACACTGTTGATGGGAGTGTAAATTAGTTCAACCATTGTGGAAGACAGTGTGGCAGTTCCTCAAGGATCTAGAATTAGAAATACCATTTGGTTCTAGCAATTACTGGGTATATGCCCAAAGCATTATAAATCATTCTACTATAAAGGCACATGCACATGTATGTTTATTGTAGCACTGTTCACAATAGCAAAGACTTGGAACCAACCTAAATGCCCATCAGTGATAGACTGGAAAAAGAAAATGTGGCACATGTACCTCATGGAATACTATGCAGCCATAAAAAAGGATGAGTTCATGTCCTTTGCAGGGACATGGATGAAACTGGAAACGATAATTCTCAGCAAACTAACAAAAAAACAGAAAACCAAACACCACATGTTCTCACTCATAAGTGGGCACTGAACAATGAGAACACATGGACAGAGGGAGGGGAACATCACACACCGGGGGCTGCTGGGGGGTAGGGGAGTAGGGGAGGGATAGCATTAGGAGAAATACCTAATGTAGGTGACAGGTTGATGGGTGCAGCAAACCACCATGACACGCGTATACCTATGTAACAAACCTGCACATTCTGCACTTGTATCTTAGAACTTAAAGTATAATCATAATTTAAAAATTTTAAAAAGAATGACATCCTGTCATTTGCAACAACATGGAATGAAGTGGAGGATATAATTGTAAGTAAAATCAGCTAGGCATAGAAAGACAAATTTGTATGTTCTCATTCATTCGTGGGAGCTCAAAATGAAAACAACTGAAAACATGGTGACAGAGAATGCAAGGATGTTTACCAAAGGCTGAGAAAGTTAGTGGTGGGCAACAGAGATGATTAATAGGTACAAAAACATACAGTTAGATAGAATAAGATCTAGTATTTGATAGCACAACAGGTAGCACACAGGGTGACTCCAGTCAAATCACTAAAATAATATAATTAAAATGTGTGAAATACAAAGAAATAATAAATGCTTGAGTGACGGATATCTCATTTACCCTGATGGGATTATAATGCATTATATGCTTGTTTCATAATATCTCAGCTACCCCATAAATATATACACCTACTATGTACCCATAAAACATTTTGAAGCTCAAAAATTAAAAAAATAAAAATATACCTATTTTTGAGAATCCTGATTCCCTAAAGAAGACTATTAGATCCTCTGATCAGGTACTCTTAGAAAGATAACAAAAGGTATTTCCACAGAAGGGACTTACTTAGCCTGTTCTGTTAATTGAATGGATAGTAACATAATATCCATCATGGCGATACTGGGCTGAGGTGGGCAGACCACTTCAGGTCAGGAGTTTGAGACCAGCCTGGCCAACATGGTGAAGCCCTGTCTCTACTAAAAGGCTGTGAGAAACTATTTTGACATTTAAAATGTGACCATTTCAAAGTAATAAATTTACCATCTTACCTTGTTCACTCTCAAAGCTTGCTTCCTCATCAGACAAAAGTAGCCTGAAGTAAAACAAAACAAAACAAAAATGTATATTTTTGATTATAATACATTTGCGATTCATATTCCCCAAACAGTTTTATGTGATTAAAAAAGTGTTTTTACTCAGGAAACATAAAATCATTTTCTAGTAGATCCCCTAAAATCGGTATCTGGTGAATTTCCTATGTTTTCTATAGAACTACACAGACCTTTCACCCCTTATTCCTTCAATAAACACTTACTGAATATCTACAAAGCACCGGGCATCATGCTCAGCACTGTAGGCACAATGTTAAGTACTCAAATCTTCAAGAACCTTCAACATCAAAGCCATAGAGTAAGAAGTTTCATTTTCAAGTCTTGAAAGGTTTTAAGAACACTTGGGAACTAAATCAAGGCAATGAGGAACTCCAGGAAACATGGAGTACCCATTTTTAACAACAAAGTGATGTTTGCAAGACACATTAGCCCAAAATATCCTCAATCAATACTAATTTTGGATATTCATAGCATCTGTCTAATAAACAAAAAGTTAAGATGAAGAAACTGAACACAAACATAGTCACTATACCTGGGGCCTGACCTCACAGGTGCTAGTATTGAAAGTTGTTTGGCCCTTATTTCTGAGTTTGTTAATATATTGAATCTGGTTAAAATGAGAATAGCAGCTTTGAAATAAAAACAAAGGGACAATATAATATAATAAAAGAGAAACAGGTGACATGAAGGATGTAATGGCAAGAACCTCTCTTTTCAGGTAACCAGTCCCAGTCCTACGCGTGTTATTCTGGAAACAGATTTTTAATAGTTTATTTCACAGCTATGGGTGCCTGTCCCTTTCTTCTCTCAAGATGCCCCTTTCAAAAGTCACTAGAGGAAGTTGTGGCTCAATACAAGGCTCAATATCCCAAATGACAGACTCTTAATCACCCCAATCAGTTTGATACTCCTGTCATGTCCTTTGCCTGCTATGTTAAAAAATGGAAAAAAAAATTGTGCAGGATCTGGATATTAAACAAAAAAATGGGAAAAAATACATAAAGTTTTAAAACAAATTGCTAAGGTTTGAATTCCTCCTCATCAAAACTCTTGTTGAAATTTGACTCCAACCTCTCAGCATGGGAGTATTGGGAGGTGGGGACCTAGTAAGAGGTGTTTGGGTCATGAGGGCAGATCCCTCATGAATGGTTTGGTGCCTTTTTCAAGGTAATGAGTGAGTTCTCACTCCCATGAGATCTCTCAGGAATACTTCTGAATGGGTTGTTATACAGCCAGCACACCCCTTGATTTTGCCTCTTCACACAGGTCTGCTTCCCCTTTGACTTTCTCTACCATGTTATGAAGCAGTACTAAAGCCCTCACCAGAAACCAGGGCCATGCTCTTGAACTTCCCAACCTGCAGAACCATGAGCTAAACTTCTTTACTTTATAAATTACCCTGTCTCAGGTATTCTGTTATAGCAACACAAAACAGACTATGACACAAATGTTTAGTGTTGATTGGAAAAATGACATAGAGGCCAGGGGCAGTGGCTCACGCCTGTAATCCCAGCACTTTGGGAGGACAAGGCAGGCAGATCACGAGGTCAGAAGATCAAGACCATCCTGGCCAATATGATGAAACCCCATCTTTACAAAAACACAAAAGATTAGCCGAGCATGGTGGTAGGCACCTGTAGTCCCAGCTACTCAGCAGGCTGAGTCAGAAGAATTGCTTGAACCCAGGAGGCAGAGATTGTAGTGAGCCAAGATCATGCCACTTGCACTCCAGCCTGGCAACAGAGTGAGACTCTGTCTCAAAAAAAAAAAAAAAAAGGAAAAATGACACAGAAATAAATATTCAGTAAGAGAAAAAAACAATTCTTTCCACATATATCATATGATAGTATCAAGGATTTCTATAGCATGACACATATGACTTATGCCTGCTTACTTATTGAGGTGTTCAGAAAGAAAACCGCCTATTTGTTCTTCTTTATAGTCTTCACTAAGCTTGCTTGGAGTGCCTTGTAGTTGCTAAGGATAAGAAAGTCAATGTTAAGTAGATAGAAAGAATGTTTCTTCCTCTCTGCAAAGAAAATGAGAATAAAAATTCTGAAGAATCATATGAAATAGGAAGTTCTGAACTAGAAAGTAAAAGATATAGGACACGTATGCTAATGTAATCTGAACTGAGCTACTGAGTACCAATACTTGTTTCTCCTGCCTTCCTGTGTAAACTGCACATACTGTGATGTAGGGTAGCCACAGATTATTTTAACAACTTTGTAATAGGCCTAACGAAGACTTAAACTGTGTTGCTGGCCTGTATTGCAATGCTCTAAATACAGCTAAAGATTTTCAATTTTGATTCTGAGCAGAAATTGGATATAAAATTTGCCTAAATATGTAGTATGCCATACAGTGAAACATTTATTATAGAAAAAGTAAAAACAAAACAAAACAAAAACCAACCTAATTCAAGGGCATCTTTGGGGCTGGAAGATGCCGTGTCAGAACATGACTTTAACATCCTTCCTAAACCCTAGGAATATGTAAGATATGAGCCTATCACAAATACCACATTCAGCTTGAAGAAACCAGCCAGCAAAGCTTTCAAGCTTTACTGAAAGTAAGGCAGAATGAATGGTAAGTTAAAAGGTACTGAAACCTGGCATAATGTTGGTATCATGAATTATATCTATGACTAGTGTAAAAGTAAAACAGTGAAGTTTTTCTCTAACTTTTAATATTTTCAGGTAGATAATCTGGTCACTTTTGAGAACACATGACCACTTTCCATCACTTGTTCCTCTTAAATTTTTCCTTTCCATAGCCTTTTCTTATCTCTTTTGCATTTAAATTTTTTCAAGTTCTCCCCTCTTTTTCCCTGTCCTACTACCACCTTGAGCCTGCCAGCAGTATTCCTATGTATTTCAGTGTTGCTGGCAGCATTTGCAATTAGGAAAGTGCTGATCCTTGGCTGAAGGAAAATGTTTCTCAATGTTTTGTAAATTTTAAATTAACCTTGGTAAAAAAAAAAAAAAATAGTTTCAATGTTATCACCCAAATGAAGTGTAATACATCTAAACAAGAGAACATGGAACACAACGTACCTTGAGAGCTACAAAATCATATGGATGAAAGCCAATACAGGCTTCATGAATTTGGGACATCATTCGAGCTGTTTTCTCCCAGAATCCAAGCAGTGTTCTCTGCAAAATAAGAAAAGGTGACTCTACAGTTCTGATTCCCCTCCATAGTTTTTTAAGTGCTGTATTTCCTTACTAGTTTAGTAGATGAACAGTTGACAAATAAGAAGAAGCAGGAACTAAATTCAGTTTTCCAAGTTTGGGGAACCATAAAGCACTACAAATAATCATTTTGCATAAGAATTGGCATCTGTGTCTGCACGTGTGGGTGTTGTCTGTATAAACAGCACAGGAATGCACACTGGAGCCACCGAGAGAGTGATTGCAGCTAAAAGAATGAAAACTGAAGGATTAGAACATCTGAGGTATTGAAGAGAGAAATGTAAAAAGCACAAAAATACCGATCTCTATAAAAGGAGGGGCATATGTGTAATCTTTATGGTAATGGGAATATATAAACATTTTTTTAATTGGAGAAAAATTCCATTTACCACTAAATCTGGACTTTCATCTAGAGTTCAAGAAAGATTTGCCAAAAAAATGTGTTCTCAAGCTAACTCAAGTAATTGGAAACTTTCCTTGCTGCTTCAAGGTTCCTGATTAAAGTGAGGGGGAAGAATGGAGATAATAAAGGAGAACTGAATTCACAGCTAGTGTGCTTCAGGCAAGATGCTAAAGAGATATCACACATTGTTATTTTAAAGTACATCCTTTCTCCATTCCTGAATCCCACAGAATTGAACTGAAATAGGCAGACTCCCTAAAAGCAGGAGGGAATGTCCATTTCCTATAGTTTATTACTCTTTTCTTAAGTATAGTTTATTCAATTTTTTTCTATTTAAAATATATGTAAAAATCAATAACGGCTATTTATTAATATCTAACTTATTCATTGTATGTTATTTATATGTGATTTATAGTAACATAAGCACAAGTGAAATTTCTGAGGTTAAAGTGATATGGGATGGCAACTTGGCAGAATGAAAAGAACACACAATCCAGAATTAGAAAACTTTGGTTTCTAAGCTCAACATTGCCTCTCAGTTTAATTCTCATAGGTGTCATTTTCCTCATCCATAAAACAACAGAAAAGTTTTTAAACTTTTGTGGGCGCAGCACCTTTGCTTCAGATGAAATTGTATATAGAACTTCAAACCCAGAAGTGGAACAACTCAGGTTAAACCAGGGCAAATGGGCCTTAGGATTTGCCTCTTCTATCTCAAATGGTCCATAGGTCTCTCTCTCTCCTATGACACCAAAGAGAATAGCTACAGAAGTAGACAATCTCTAAGGTCTTTTCCAGAACTTTATGACTCTCTGACTTTCATAACCTCAATAAAGCAATTATAGCAAAGCCAAAGGAATCTAATCACACAAAATTTTCTGCACCCTTTAGACAACTTTTAAAAAGGAATCTCACCACTCATCTTTACTGCAAGGGCATGCTGATCATGGAGGTGGGTACCTGGTAGGTAGTGAGTGAATGAGATAGCATATTGCAGCGACTAGCTCCAAGTAAATCCACTTTCTGACAAACATCCATCTTTAACTTGTCAAAAGAAGCTTTGCTATTTCTTACTTGCATCTGTACCTGCAATAAAAATGTTAATTTTTATTATAGATATATAGTATAAATATATTATTACAGATATAAATATAGTATACAGGTTCATATTTTCAGAAATAACTTCTAATAAAGACTAATTACTTTTCCCTGTATCACTAATATTTCATGAATAATGATGAAGATTTTGGCAACTGTTCATAATTGTGGGAGATTCTTTCCAGAAGATATCTTTATGCTGAGAAAGTACGAGATAATAGATGGAAAGTACATAGTTTTTAAAAAAGTATTCCAAATAAAAAGGAACATCTAAAACTATTCATGAATAGCACTTAGCTAACAGCAGAAGAATAAATGGAAAGGGGACCTCATTAAAATGCTGAGAAACATTAGTAATATTTCTGAACCATGCAGATATTTATAAATTTTAGTAGAGGCCTATTACATTTCTTGAATAAATGGTGAGTCATGTCAATTGGGTAATGTGAATAGTCAACTTTTTGATATATTAATTAATCTAACAAATATTTGAATATTTGTTGAATGAATTAATATATTAAAAAGTTAAGGTACCTATTACATGCAAGGCAGTGTTCTGGGCACTGAGACATTGTGATGAACAAAACAATGTTCTTCCCTACCATCCTTGGGTAGGAGGCACAGGGAAAAAAGAAGTACATAAATATATGATAATCTCAGGTTGCAGAAATGAGTGACTGACTACCTTTAATAAAATGACATGGAGGTCCTTGGTGAGATCATGCACGATGTTTGAACTGGGACAGAAAGATGATGAGCAGGCTAAGCTAAGACCCTGGGGAGAGCATTCCAGAACCAGGGACAAGCAAAGACAAAGGTCCTGAAAGTGGGAGGTGGTGGAGACCTTATCATGTTAGAAGAACAAGAAGGAAGTGAGTATAGCACATTCTTCCTGGAGTGTAGAAAGCAAGTACAAAGTATGGCTGTGGAGGGACCCGGGATCAGGCCATGCAGGGTTTGGGGGGTCCAGATGGGGACTTGGATTGTATTTGATATGGTTTGGCTGTGTCCCTGCCCAAAACTCATCTTGTATTCCCATGTGTTATGGGAGGGACCCAGTGGGAGATAACTGAATTGGGGGCAGGTCTTTCCTGTGCTGTTCTCATGATAGTAAGTCTGACAAGATCTGATGGTTTTATTTATTTATTTATTTATTTATTTATTTTTAAAGATGGGGTTTCACCATGATGGCCAGGCTGGTCTTAAACTCCTGACCTCAGGTGATCCACCCACCTTGGCCTCCCAAAGTGCTAGGATTACAGGCATGAGCCACTGTGCCCGGCCTAGATCTGATGGTTTTAAGGAGGGTAGTTTCCCTACACAAGCTCTTTTTCCCTGCCACCATCCATGTAAGACATGACTTGCTCCTCTCTGCCTTCCGCCATCATTGTGAGGCCTCCCCAGCAACGTGGAACTGTAAGTCAATTAAATCTCCTTATCTACCCAGTCTCGGTTATGTCTTTATCAGCAGCATGAAAACAGACTAATACATTATTATTCTTCTAAAAATTGAGGTGAGAGTTGCATAACATACAATTAGCAATTTAAAAATTTTCAATTCAGTGGCAGTTAGTGCATTCACAATGTCGTTCAATCACTCCCTTGGACTGTATTCTCACTGTCAAAGATCGTAAAAGGGGTGGAATATGAGGTCGTGGTGGCTTGAGGCCACGTATTCACCTACTTCATAGGGCTGTTGTGTGTAATCAATGAGGCAAACCACTTAACAGCTGGCCCAAATGTCCTGGCTCCATCAATATTAAATATTATGATATTTATTATGGGTTCTCTAAATATTTATAAAATGAATGACAAAATGAATTTTATTATTTATGTATGGTAAAATTAGGGGATATAATTTGTAATAAGCAGTTTATTTAGCAAAAATGTATGTTTATACATAATTACTTATGAAGTTTGTGGCCAAACTTTGAATTGTCACCAAACAAAAATTTTGATAACCTTCATATTTTCTTATAATTAACAATCATTTTACATGAGTTTTTACTTAAATTATTTTTGTCCTCTGTAATAAACTATTTTCTTCCTGCAGATGAATCTCAGAAGTCCAAGCAAGCAACATTTAATAAGTAATTTAGATCTATCATGAGAGGGATAAAAAAAATTAATAAAAAAGGTAGATGGTGTGAATATGTCACTCCAGGAGTAAAAATAAAAGTGTGACAAGCTTTTGTACTTCAACTACAGTCTCCAAGCAACCAAGAATTTATAATGAAACATTTCTCAAAAAACATCCGAAATTTTATGATCTTAATTAATTATTAAATGGCAGTTCCATATTTCATACATCAAGAAAAGGAAAGGGATACATTTTCATACTTTTCTAAACTTTTCCATTTGCTTTAAGGTGTCTGGGTCCAGCTCTTGGGATACATCTTTCATCCACAGCAGAGCTCCTCTGTATTCTGTGCGCGCCTGCTCCATCCGATTAATTGTCATTAAGGTATCAGATACCGCCCTTTGACTGAATGTTGCTACTTCTTGCTTCAGACGAGACAGAGGAGTACACAGGGCCAATCTAATGGCAGAGAGGTAAAAATCAGAGGGTTGAACACATCATAAGTAAAACAAAAAAAAAGGTTTAAACCAATGATAAAGCATATTTGGCTAACAAGATCAATCTACAAGTAAAAAATTATTAAGTTCCCTAAGGAGATTTAGAAAGAAAATTAGGATCATATAGCCAACTCTGAATTATCAATAAAGATGTGACAGCCACACATGGTGGCTCACGCCTGTAATCCCAGCACTTTGGGAGGTGGGCAGATCACCTGAGATCAGGAGTTTGAGACCAGCCTGGCCAATATGGTGAAACCCCATCTCTACTAAAAATACAAAAAATTAGCCAGGCATGGTGGTGGGTGCCTGTAATCCCAGCTACTCAGGGGGCTGAGGCAGGAGAATCGCTTGAACCTGGGAGGTGGAGGTTGCAGTGAGCCGATATTGTGCCAGTGCACTCCAGCCTGGGCAACAGATCAAAACTCCATCTCAAAAAAAAAAAAAAAAAAATGTATCTACACCTCCCCACTTGTTACTTTAGGAAATATGTCATTTTTGCAATACTTTGGATGTTATTTCATGTATAAGTAACCTGCCCAGTAAATCTGCTATTTAGAGAACAGTTCTGAGGGGAACAGAGAACCTGCATTCATAAAGCATAATCCGATTAACAGAAAGCCTTCATTTGACAAGTTCAGGGAAAACCTGGGTTTGGAAGAGCAGATAAGATGCTAGGAGAACTAATGAGTATGGAGTTCTTAGTAGCTGAGGATGAGGACAAGATAACAAGTATTTTTTAAAAAAACAAATTAAATCCAATTCCTCTGCTCTGCTTTTGGCTTAGTGGCATTGAAGGTCCCTGTACTTAGTACCTCATGTAACTTCCTTTGAGATAGACTTTTGCACTGATGTGATGTTTCAGAGTAAAGCTATCCTAAGCTGTACATCCTTATTATAGGTCTGATGAAGACTGTTTTATTATTCTTCTTAAATACAAAGATTTGGTCTATGCTTAGTAATTATAGAAGATTCTTTGCAGCAGGTATCATTATATTAGAAACTGAAATAATGACTGGAAAGCATGCAATTAAGAAGAAAAAATTTCTTCTACTTAAAAAGTACCAATATATTTACAGTATAGTATCAAAAAGTGAAATCGAAAAAAAGAAAATATACATTTTTAAGATGTTAGTTATTCTGTGACTGTTACATTAAACCAGTTGAGAGATATAACTGACACTTGTCTGATTGTAGGGGAAATAAAAGAAAAATAAATACAGGCCTAAAGGCTATTTCTAGAAATTTAGCAATCAAGAACATTAATCATTAAATAATTATTTTGCATACAAAATTAGTAATTAAGAATTAGGTGTCAAAACATATAACTGCAATATATTTTTGTTTAACCCTTTATTAGGCTGAACAGTGATCTTTACAAATATGAAAATTTAAGTACATATGTCAAAACTATCAGATTGACTACAGATTCGAGATGATGAACAACCATGGTAAACCTTTGCTTGGCTGAAGAACAGAGTGCCTTGCCAGTGGCATCCATCATTTTGCCAGCTTGAGTTGCATCCCGTTCCGCTTGAAACTTTAAAAAGAGCCCTAGCTCATTTTCTTCCTCTGATATAACTAGGAAAAAAATTACAGTGTAGTTAATTGTTTCCTTTACATCATTTGTTTAAAACATACACACAACTAAAATTCCCACAGCAATAACTCTCTATACAAGATTTACTTGGGGAAAGAAGAAGAGAGACTTATTTTTTAAATGCAATTCCCAGGCTCCATTTCCAGAGACTCTGCTTTCCACAGGTTTAGGGAATGTGGCTTCTTATCAGCACTTCAGATGGTTTGATTTTTAGTGACAAAAATCCCTCAAAACTACAAAATAAAGCCATAAATGATGCATTTTCAAATGTGCAGAGATGTATTTTAGGACCACTACAAAGTATTTGCTTCCTATTTAAACTTGTTAACTTAATTCTTGACTCCCATCCTGGCTTCAGTTTCCCATGCTTGGTATTCCAGACCCACAGATGTCCAGAGTTCTGCTCCAGCAACCCTAAACATTGTCATCTATAGCAGACAAATGAGTGGGGGGGCAGGGAAACAAACTGTCATCTAGTGCACTGCTGCTCAAAGTGTGGGCCATGGACTAGTATTGGTCCAGAATCCTCTGTTACCAAGCTGTGACAAGCAAAGAAGTAAAGAAACTGAGAATGACTGTGTAGAGACTTTTACCAATTTGACTGAGCATTTTATATTTGTCAAATCTAATAAAGTGAGCTTATAATACATTTTTCATGTATTTTATTTCATTTTTCTAAAAGTTATTTTTTTAAAAGATGGGGTTTTCCTCTAACACCCAGCCTGGAGTTCAGTGGCTTGATCATAGCTCACTGTAACCTTGAACTCCTGGGCTCAAGTGATCCTCCTGCTGCAGCCTCCTGAGTAGCTGGGACTACAGACATGAGTCACAGTGCTTAGGTAATTTTTAAAAAATTATTTTAGAGGTAGGGTCTCACTATGTTGCCCAGGCTGGTCTCAAACTCCTAGCCTCAAGACATCTTCCCACCTTGGCCTCCCAAAGCACTGGAATTACAGGCACGAGTCCCAGTGCTCAGCTAAAAATCCATTTTTATTGAATTTTACAAAGGTATCAGTTTACAACAGATTGAAAGTAAACCATGAAACAAACAAAAATAAAAAGTACTTCACCACAATTTAAGAAACTCTGATCTAGTGTAAGCTGATCCTGTAACCACAGTAAGACTAATGAGGGGGAAAGCCCACAGTGCTCCAATTATAAGCTTAAAGTGAATAAACAACAACAAATGTCATGCCTAATTTTATCCTAATTCACTGATAGAAAAATCAAAGTTAAAAGTGAAAGGGAAGTGCCTGGCTACTTGTGGAGCTGCAACAGAACTCAGGCCTCCTCATGCTGGCTCCCCATTTCCCCTGTTCCCCCCACCATGCCTACAAGGGTGACCAAGGAGAGCACAATGGTGTAATAAGGAAGGTATCTACAGTCTGTAGTCTCATCTCTAATAAAACCATGAACAACTGACCTGATCCAGAGTGAATGGGGTTTGGGGAGTCATGCTAATTTAATGCTGATTACTTGAGAGATGTACAGTTTATACACTTCCTTTGAATCATAACTTCATAAAATATACCCTAATGAAAACTACTAGAAAATATTCATTTGGGTATGATGGTTTAGAAAGCACTTTGAGTACTTGGAATACTTCATTATCAAGTATCAACTGAATATAAATGATCACTGAAGCTTACCTTTATCATTGCAGAAAAAGCAGTCAATGAGGATAATCTGTGCTGCTTCTATGTTGGGAACTCCCTGCCAAAATCTACAGAGACCCCTCCCTGACATGTTCTCCCCTGAGTCAAGAGATTCCCATAAAGTTATGGTGCTGGACTAACCTACTGCATTTGTCTGATGTTACACCCAATAGATGTATTAATACAATTGTCTTCAAGAAATCACATACTTATACACAATCTTGAAGTGAAAAATACATAATTAAATCTATATATATGTATCTCTTCCTTATCCTGAAAAGCTCCACCAGGGTGCTAAAAGATCTAGGGATTTCAGGGTATATAAACTTGCTGATTTTTTTCACACTTTCATTTCTATCACAGGAGTCACTTGGTCCAGTGATTGTGATGGCCAGATGGCCATTTACTGCTTGGTAATCTGAACCCCAAATTTCCTTTGTTCCTTTATCCTCCCATTAGTTTCAATAACAAACTCTTCTGCCCATGCAGGCTGTTCTCATTCTTTAAGCTCTTTAAACTCTAAGTCTCTTCTTTCCTCTACATGTTCAACTTCTATAAATCCTTAAAGTTTTACCTCAATTCCTATTTATGGAGTTCCCATTACCAATTACTCTTATCCACAGTTATTTTTCACTTTTAGGAATTCGGAGTTAAGTCTGTATCATTATTCTGAACTCAATTACATACTACTTGTATCATCTCTCTTTTTGTTAAAAAAAAGTTGTTTTTTTCAACTATTTCTTTGAGAAAAGCAAATGGCAGGTAGTCAAATACTTGGGGCCAGGCACAGTGGCTCACGCCTGTAAATCCCAGCACTTTGGGAGGCAGGTGGATCACGAGGTCAGGAGATCGAGACCATCCTGGCCAAAATGGTGAAATGACATCTCTACTAAAAATATAAAAATTAGCTGGGCATGGTGGCACTTGCCTGTAGTCCCAGCTATGCAGGAGGCTGAGGCAGGAGAATTGCTTGAAAATTGCTTGAACCCAGGAGGCGGAAGCTGCAGTGAGCCAAGACTGCACCACTGCACTCCAGCCTGGGTAACAGAGCAAGACTCCATCTCAAAAAAAAAAAAAAAAAAAAAAGCCAACTTGAATAACCATGCTTTATTGGATTTCTTTATTTAATGGGACAATGTATAAGCTTTGATTATAAAGCAATGAGATTAATTTACATAGCTACATGAGAAAAATTATTGATTCACTGAAATCAAATATTTATCAAGTACTGACCATATGCTAGACATTGTTTCTAGACTGGAGGCACAGAAATAAACAATATATTATAATTCTGTCCTTAAGGAGGGTATAATCTAGTGGTGGGAAGACAAACAACAGATAAATGCATAGAATGTTGAATACTGTTAACTGTTCAGGGAGTTTTGGGGGAAAGGGATATTGTATTTTTTGTGCCCTCTGAGGGCAGGGAGTACTGCATTTTAGATATACAGTTCAGGGAAGGCCTCATTTAAAAAGATGAAATTTGACCAAATACCCAAAGGAAGTTAGGGATTCCACTATGCAGATAGGCCTACTGTATAAGATATTAATATGGCTAAAGAGGGGAAGGTTTTTAGGACTTGTAATTAGAGAGGTAGCCATGTCCAGTAGGCCCACTGTAATTAAAAAAGGAGAAGAGATACAAAGATTGAGTTTCAACCTGAACAGGTCCAAAAGAGAAGAGAATTGGCAAAGGCAAGATGCCAAGAAGGAGTGACCAGTAGGAGGAAAACCAGGAAAGCCAAGTGAAGAGAGTGTATCAAGGCAAAGAAAATAATAAACTGTGTTAAATAATGTGATAAGCCAGATTTAGACAGGAGTTAGCTAATCATGACCCCGACAAGAGAAATTTAGTAGAGTGATGGAGATAAAACTTGACTGGAGTGAGTACAAGAGAAAGTGGAAGGAAAGGAACAGAGACCATGCATACAGATAATTACATCACATTTTTCTGCAAGGAGGAGCAGAGGAATGGAATTTAACTGCAAGGGCAAGTGGGAGTCAAGAGAAAGAGATTTAAGTGATGGAAACAAATCCATTTCAGATGCTAGGCAGGCCTGGGCATGGTGACTCACACCTGTAATCCTAGCACTTCGGGAGATTGAGGCAGGAGGATCACTTGAGGCCAGGAGTTTGAAAGCAGTCTGGGCAGCATAGTGAGACTCTGTGTCTACAAAAAAATACAAAAATTACCCAGGTATGGTGGCACAGGCCTGTAATCCCAGCTACTTAGTAGGCTGATGTGGGAGGATCACTTGAGCCCAGCTGGTGGGGACTGCAGTGAGCTGTGATCACACCACTGCACTCTAGCCTGGGTAACAGAGGAAGACCCTGTCTCAAAGAAAAAAAGAATATCAGCAAAAAATAAATCTGGGTCAGAGGATTTGATTAACTGAGGGAAAAAGGGACAGAATACCGGGGCCTTTGAGAACAGGTCACTATAAATATTCATATTTTGTCATAAGAAGCTATTCACAAAATAGTTTTACTAGTTTTATATTAAATCTTTAATTTTAAAAAATGCTAACAAATATTATCATACAGGTATCTATAATTTCATACCATTGAGTCTTAGCTGGTATTTCTCGACTATCTTCAGAAGTTCAGTGCATGTCTCTTGAATGGAGTGAAAAACCTTGAAATATAAATTATATTAGGACAATTTAAAGAATCATAAACAAATGTATGTTATAAGCACTCCAAAAGCATAACATTTTCTTATAGGTATTATATCTATCTTAAAAACATTATATCTATTTTTCCTTGGCTTTGACATACTTCAATTTTTGTTATACGTCTGATGTAGAAAGTATATTCTCCCATGAGAGTTGGAAAAAATGATGATAAATATAGGGGAGTAAACAAAAAATTGAAACTGAAGAGTTTGTCCTCAACTCAGCCCGAAACTATCTAAATAACAAAAAGACAGATCTAATATAAATTGCATCAAATATTGCCAACCACAGATGAACAGAGTACAGATAACCTTAGAAAGTGTTAACTCCAAGTCTTGGCTTTTCTCCCATATTGGTCTAAGCAAAACAGATTAGTAAATTTACTATAAAAATTAAATAATGTATTACAACATCAAATATAAATTATTTTTAAGTTTTTTGTTTAGAATTTTCCATAGATATTATTTGATTACTACTGATGCTAATTGCTAAAAGAAAAGAAAATATCCAGTAGTCTCTCATTTCAAAATTAAGCACATGAAAATTTGAGATGAGGACACACTATACACATGACATAACTCTTCACACAAATAAATGTAGGTGTTCCCAGATAAATAAGCTGGCATACGTTTTAGTGTACAGCCTTCTCACAAAGTGCTACAATGAGGATTTTTTTTTTTTTTAAGCAAGGGCTGTCTGTTCAGAATCATCTTCACTGAAGAATTTTTATGTGACTTAGTTAAAAAAGACCTTGGTACTGCTGTGTAGTATTAAGCCCTAACCCTTTGATTGTCAAATGCCCACTATCATCAAGAAACCTGCACATTCCATCTCTAGAGCAGTTTGATGTTTGATCAAACCTACAGAAGACTGATAATAAACACTAAAATATTAAAGGACGGGAAGGCATCAATTTTCCTTATAAGTTTAGACATGTTTGAAGTGCAGTTGGTACCTGAATTTGGCAATTGTAAAATCTGTTTTAAATGAATGTGGAAGAAGATTAGAAAAGAATACAAAAAAGGTAGTTCTACTAGGATGAAGTGATTGTGCTTGATTTTTTTTTCCACAGGTCTTTTCAAGACTTACGTACCAGTGCTTTTTATTTTTATAATAAAACTGTTTCTCATTCTTAAAAAGTAGTACAAATGTGAGAGAAAGTTCTTGGTTGATTCCAAATATTTATCTAATGGACAGATTTACACTGAATATAAAACACGTCACCCACAGATGACCTAACAATGTAAAACAATATCAAAACCTCATAGATTCTCACTTCTCTGGGAATAAATCTGGAACAATATACAGTTGTGTTAAAACGTACAACACCAATAATAATAAAGTCTTCACTTTTACACATTTGTCACTGAATCCTAAGAATACTTTTCAACAGAAACAGTAAAAGCTTGTAAATTTTTATGTATTTCCATATTTGTTTTGGCAATGACATAAGATTATGCAGAAGAAAATACTTGATCAAGACCAGTTTAATTAGACCCATATTTGGAAGAATCCCACCATAATGATTATATTCCAAGCATAACAGAATATCTGCTTGGAAATATTTGAAAGAGTTAGCTTGAATTAGAATATATATGTTGAGTTAGTAAACCTGCATTTAAAAATTCAGACTTCTGTATTCATTTACATGAAACTCTTCGCTAATTAGCCTAATTACTTTAAACCATTTATTGGTTTAAAATTGTTCCATGGCAATTATTTATTTAAAATAAAAAACAGCCAAAAAAAGGCATTAGGAAATAATTTCATTAACTCTATCTTTTAGTAAAATAGAAATAATAACTCTTCATTCACTATTTAATTATCTCAGTGAGGTATAAGACTTCACATCAAAGTACTACAAAACAGTATGACATGATATATAATAAGTATATGGTCTTAATTGGGATTGTTATTAATTCACTAGCTTAAAAATTATAATATGTATGCCAGAGAAACTTCATATTTTATCTAATTTAGTGAATACCAATTTTGCAAATTCTCAGTTTGTGAGAACTGTGTGACCTCCTATTCAGAGCTCTAATTGACAGCTGGATACAACTAAACATTCTATTATCAAATTTGCATTTATCCCCACAAGCTCTCCAGTTTGAAAACTTGTTGCAGTCCCCCATGGTGTCCCAAATAATAGACAATACACAGAATGCTCAAATTTACCTCAAGTTTAGCATCCAGTTCAGCATCAGATGCCACCAAGTGCTCATCCTCTTTTTTTCCTGTTGCTTTGATAAAGACCTGTTTAGTTTTCCAGTATTTCTTTTGCATTCTGCTCACTACTGACTGATTATCTTCTGGTCTGGGTTGCCCAAAGGAATCCATGGAGTGACTAAAATGAACAGACTAAAACTGAACTTCTTAAAAAAATATGTTTATATAATAATAATAATAGAATAAAATTTATATAATAACAGTAAGAAATGTTTAGCTAGCCAATATTTAATTTGACAAATGGAAAAAAGGTACTAAATGCAATTTTTTTAAAGAGTAAGGGTCTCATTCCCTCACGCAGGCTGGACTGTAGTGGTGCAATCATAGTTCACTATAATGTGGGCTCAAGTAATCTGTCTCGGCCTCACATAGCACTGGGATTACAGGTGTGAACCAGCACACCTGGCCACTAATATTAATCATCACAGTCAAACATGCTAATGCTTGCTTTATATGGTCTAAATGTATAATTTCAACTAGCACAAGAAACAGGCAAAAAATTAATTATATTTACATTAATTTCAGTTGGATGACAAAGGTAATAAAACTTATGATTTTACAATTATGTCTAGAAAAGATATTTTATTTGACGGATATCTATTTATAGATGTTTATTACTTTCTAAGTTTTACTTTTGTAATAAAACTGCAAAATGAACAAACTTGTACATATATCTTTACATACTATCAGTTCCTTAGGAAAAGTTCCTATAGTTATAATTGCTATGTCAGACAAACATCCATTTAATAAATATTCTCAGATATGCAAAGATTCCAACACATACTCTTTAAAAAATCACTCAAAGAAATATTTTAATGTCCAATAAATTCTACACAAATAAAGTCCTTAGGTATAAGGGAAGATACCTTATAAAAGAAATACAGATGGACATTGTAAACTGTAAACATAAAAATTAATGTCTAAGAAGTTATTCTTAACAAGGTTAACATGGCTATATAAGGAAATGCAAATGTGAAAAGTATTTCTTAAGGATATGTAAAAAGAAGAAATACTAATAACAATTTGGATCTAAAACCCAAATTATTCCAACAAACTGTAAGAGTAGGAACAAAAGGGAAATGCTCAAGTATGTGACTCATTAGTTCTTTCCAGGCACATCAATAGATGCTATTCTATTTTTCATGTTAGTAACGAAATAGAGGTTCACTTTCTTTTAATTTGAAGTAATTACTAATTAAATAAAAACAGGAAGTCTAATTTCCAAATTACTGGGGGTAAAACAAAACAGCCAGAAAAACTGTAGCAAAAGCAAAAGACCAAGTGAGTAAAACAGGAGTAAGGCAATATAACAAACAGTACAAAAAAGAAGATGGAAGACGAAGAACAATTATATTATTTAGTATGATAGATGCAAACTTCTTTTTAAATACAAAGAATCTCAAATCATTAAAAAAATCAAAATTCAACTATACGGTATTGGAGATTCATCTAAAGCAAAATGACAAAGAAAGATAAAGATATGCGTTAAGATATATCAGTTAAATAAATACTAACAAAAAGAAATTAGGATAGCTATATTAATATCAGACAAAGTAGATTTAAATAAAAAGCATAAAATGAACAAGGACAAGCTGTAAAGTCCACAACATGGCCAATTTTCCAGATATCCTCTGGGTTATTAGCCTTTGGATATCTTCCTAGATTCCTGGGCAGTATATATTAGTTATCATTTAATTGCCAAACCTCCAAATATGTTACCCTGGATAATTTGTCTGGAAATAATTTGGAATAGAAAATAATGTGGGAACTTAATTTGGGTACATAGGGAGCATGGATTTGATATAAGCATTATACTGTTCTGATACATCTAGTGTCTTGAGGGAAACTTAGTTTTTCTTTCCCATCCAGTTTCTTTACGCTTTCGGTTGCTCTCAACTGCTTTCAGTCCTCCTCCTCCTTCCTTCCACCCCCAATTTTAAAATAATTATAAGCAGTCCAACCATATGACAAACTGTTAATCTCTTCTACTAAACTGACTGCTGGTTTAGGCTCTATCAATTAGGAGAACAAAATGCTAGGGAGTATCAGGAAAGAATACCTCTTCCCTACGTCAACTTCCATGTTGATGTAGCTCAAACAATATATTCCTTTCCTCGCAACCACTCTCTCAGTATCTTCTTCTTGGAAAAGAAAGAGTAACCTATCTAATTGGAAATTTGACAGTAATAAACTCCTCTATATCTGAAAACTATCTTGCCTGCAGAGGGCACACGTTCCCTGGCAAAAGGAGAAAGTGACTGGGAGGATAAATCTGCAGGAGGTGAGATTTGTACATTTGTGGGGTATTTTTGTTGTTTTGCTTTGTTTTTTGAGACAAAGTCTCACTCTGCCACCCAGGCTGGAGTGCAGTGGCGCGACCTGGGCTCACTGTAACCTCTGCCTCCTGGGTTCAAGCTATTGTCCTGCCTCAGCCTCCTGAGTAGCTGGGACTACAGGCGCATGCTGCCACATCCAGCTAATTTTTGTATTTCAGTAGAGACGGGGTTTCACCATGTTGCCCAGGCTGGTCTCGAACTCCTGAGCTCAGGCAATCCACCCGCCTCAGCCTCCCAAAGTGCTGGGATTATAGGTGTGAGCCACCATGCCCGGCCCACATTTGTGGTTTTTATGACCCAGGGCACTGTTAAATGTGCTTGCCACTGGAGGTAGGTTAGGCAGGAAGCCAAGTCTTATGGGATTGATATATCAGATAACAGAGTTCAATGCTGGCAGAACTATCAGATATTTAGGAGGGATTTCATAAAAGGGAAGAAGTCAAAGAGGAGGTAAACCCCAAAATATGTATATAAAGTCCTCCCAAGACCTGTGTGAATCACTAAACTAACTGTGAGGCAAGGGAGGGAAACCCAGGAATAGTGGCATAAATCGGCCACTGAAAGATGAAATAACTAAGTGAAGATTTTGGCACTATCACTAGAGAGGAGACAGTCTGGAGTTTGAGTTTAGTCCGGTTAAAGAACAAAAATTCTGTTTTAGAGAAGTAAAACAGAATCCGGAATCTCTCAAATGCATCATTCAAAATGCCAAGTATTCAATAAAAAAACACTAGACATACAAAGAAATAGGAAAATGTGACCCATACTCCAGTGGGGAAAAAGCAGTCAATAAAAACAGACCCCAAAGCTTTCCCAGATACTGCAATCATCAGATAATTACTTTAAATCAACTATTAACAATGATAGACTTAATGTAGGATGTATGCATGATAAATGAACACATTGAAAATATTAGAAAACAAGCAAAACTCTCCAGTTACTAAGTTCAGTAACTGTAATTTAAAATTCACTGAAGCTGAATGTGGAAACTCATGTCTATAATGCCAGCATTTTGGGAGGCTGAGACAACAGGATCTGTTGAACCCTGGAATTTGAGGTTACAGTGAGGCATGATTATGCCATTGTACTCCAGCCTGGGTGACAGAGTGAGTGACAGACTGCCTCTTTAAAAAATAATAGAGCTGGGCGTGGTGGCTCATGCCTGTAATCCCAGCACTTCAGGAGGCTGAGGCAGGCAGATCACAAGGTCAGGAGATTGGGACCATCCTGACCAACATGGTGAAACCCTGTCTCTATTAAAAACACAAATATTAGCTAGGTGGTATGGTGGTGTGTGTCTATAGTCCCTGCTACTGAGGCTGAGGCAGGAGAATTGCTTGAACCTGGCAGGTGGAGATTGCAGTGAGCTGAGGTCATACCATTGCACTCCAGCCTGGTGACAGAGCGAGACTCCTTCTCAAAAAAAAAAATAATAATAATAACTGGACAGGATAAAGAGAAAACTGAAGATGGCAGAAGTGAAAGTTTCTTCTTAACAAAAATTACCAATCTAAAAACTGGGGTGGGGATGGGAGGAGGAAGAAGAACCAAAAGAAGAGAAGAGATAGAATGGGACAGAAAAATATTCAAAAAAGTAAAACATTCCCAAATTTGTTAATGATATTAATTTACAGATCCAATAAGCTAACTGACAAACTCCACACAGGATAAATACAAAGAAAACACAAATATACATACCATAGACAAACCACTTAAATCCAGATAGAAAAAAAAAAAAATAGCAAAGAAAACCTATCTTAAAAGCAATGGAGAAAAGTGGCACATTACACACAAGGTAACAAAAATACAAATAAGTCAGTTCTCAATAAAAACAACAAAAGTCAGACTAAATGGAAGGACATATTTAAGGTACTGAAAGAAAAAAGATCTGTTGACCCCTAATTCTACATCTACTGAAACTGTCCTTTTAAAAATGAAAGTGGTGGGAGCACAGTGGCTCAGGCCTGTAATTCCAGGACTTTAGGAAGCTGTGGGGGAAGATCACTGGAGCCCAGGAGCTCAAAACCAGTCTAGGCAAGACGGCAGGACTTCATATCCACAAAAAAATTTAAAAAACATTAGCCATGTATGGCAGTGTGACCCTGTAGTCCAAGCTACTCAGGAGGCTGAGGCAGAAGAATTGCTTCAGCCCAGGAGTTTGAGGCTAAAGGAGTATGTTCTAACTGAATGCAATGAAGCTAAAAACCTTGAAAACAGGTTAGACGAATTGCTAACTAGGATAACCAGTTTAGAGAAGACCTTATGGAGCTGAAAAACACAACAGGAGAACTTCATGACGCATACACAAGAATCAATAGCTAAATTGATCAAGTGGAAGAAAAGATATCAGAGATTGAAGATCAACTCAATGAAATGAAATAAAGCGAGAAGACAAGATTAGAGAAAAAAGAGTGAAAATAAATGAACAAAGCCTCCAAGAAATATGGGACTATGTGAAAAGACCAAATCTACATTTGATTGGTGTACCTGAAAGTGACAGGGAGAATGGAACCAAATTGGAAAATACTCTTCAGGATATTATCCAGGAGAACTTCTCCAACTTAGCAAGGCAGGCCAACATTCAACTTCAGGAAATACAGAGAATACCACAAAGATACTCCTTGAGAAGAGCAACCCCAAGACACATAATCGGCAGATTCACCAAGGTTGAATGAAGGAAAAAAATGTTAAGGGGAGCCAGAGAGAAAGGTCAGGTTGCCCATGAAGGGAAGCCCATCAGACTAACAGTGGATCTCTTGGCAGAAACCCTATGAGCAAGAAG